TGTTTTCTAACAGAAGCTGAACGACGCCCAGACGTCAAGGTCTGTGGCCTCTCATCTATTTGTGCAAAGAATCAAACTAAAATGGGCTTTTCCCGACAGTTCCAAGCGTGGATTAGCAGCCTGCGTGGGGTGGGGGGAGGTTTATGGGGCTGGAGTGACCTGAGACATCCGTCTTCTGTCCACTGCAAGCAGAGGCGGCTCCTGGAGAGGGAGATAACGGAGGCACTGGCCTGGCCCCTTGTGGCTGCGGAGTCCCTGGAGGCCCCTCAAGGCAGATGGCTGTGGCAGCTGGGCTGCAAGCTCCAAGGAGAAGGAGCCGCGTCTGCCTGGGGCCTGCCTGCATTTGCAGCTTATACACCATGGCTTGGTTCACTGGAACCCACTGCCAGGGACTTTTCCTTCTCATTGTTGACTTCACATTAAAACGAGGGCAAATAACCAAGCAGGAATGCATTTTTAAAAAGATGTTTAGGGAGTTTCCTGGATGTAACCACACGATAGCTCTCCATACCTCCTACTTTTGCAGCCTACTCCAGTTGGAATTCAGAATGATGTCCCGGGAGTCATAAAATCCAGACATTTTTAAAAGTTCAATTACACTTACCAGATCAATCTTAGAAAGTCAAGAAAATGAGAGATATGTTCAGTAAAGGTTTCCAGTAATGGTATTTGAAAGCACAGGGCACATTCTGTGGTTGGTAGCATGTTTGTCTCACTCACAGGGCCTCCTGTGTTGATGCGACCTACTGCCCTGACCACAGCCCACCGTCCCACCCCGAGGCAGCTGCTGGCCAGTGAGACGGGCAGTGGGCACAGCTGGGAGAGGGCTTTCCTTCGTTGCTTCAGAGTAATTCTGCGTCAGCTGGAATCCGACTGATGCTGCAGGTCCTCTCTGGGGAGTTTTGAATCAGGACACGCAGAGAGAGACGCAGAGGTGCAGGGAGTCGTGTCATGTGAATGGCAGACCCACCAGCGTGGAAACCACAAACACGAGTTTCTAGGGAGCAGCCTGGTGGGGGTCACCTCCGCAGAGTGGCTCTCCTGGGCCATGTCACTGGGCTCCTGACAGCTCGGGTTTGCATCCCAGCCTCGACTTACTAGCTGTAGGACTCTGGCCAAGTTACAAACCTCTCTAAGCCTCAGCATCCTCCTCCTCAGCTGGGGGCGATGGTCATGACCTAGCCCAGGAGGCCGTGGCGAGCTCCCCGGGTAATGAGCACAGAGCAGCTGGTGCCGCGCCTGCACTCAGGAAGAGACAGCGCTCAGCAGGTGCTCCCTATCGTGACCGTTAAGGCCACCTTAGTAAGAATCCTAGACCCCGAGTCCTAACTGCAGGGCATTGCTGGTGTCCTGCCCATCCTTCCATCTGTCTGTCCTTCCTTTCCTCCTTTACAACAAACTGCTATGGCTCAAAGTAACTCGAGTGTGTCTGTGTTTCTTGTAGCTTAGAAGAGGCTCTTGCCCATAGAAATAAGAACTTTCTCAGTGCCGGAGAGCCCAAGTAGCCATTCTACATTACACACACATGGGAAAAGCAGTCGGTGAATGGTGGCTCGTTCTTTGTAGCGCCCCTTGGTTCAGTGCACGCAGAATGAAATGCAGTTACGGGGCACTGCTCGGCTGGCCAAGGGGCAGGTGGTGGAGGCCATTTTAAGACTGGAGTGGAGGGAGGAGGCTGGTGCCCTGGACCCACCGGAGAAGGAACCCCCGGTGGCTTGACAACAGCAGCGAGGCTGTGAGGCTGGTGGCATATCTGTGAGCTGGGTATGTGCATGCACAGGAATGGGGGCACATGCAAGAGTGGCATGTCCCATGGCCATGGTCACCTGTGTGTCTGTGCCAGCATGACTGCACATGTGGACAGGGGCTGGAGGGAGAGCATGCTGTGTGCATCTGTGTGGGTTTGCACCTGGGAGAGCTGTGGTTGGGGGTGTCACAATGGTACATACACCTGAGGATGATGCCTGTGCACAGGTGTGAGTGTGAGCCGTATGTGGCTGTGCGTGCCCAAGCAGGCATGCGCTCTGTATGTGGCTGGCGTGTGAGGCAACTCTGCGCTCCCTTCAGCAGCTGGGCTGGCCCTAGTGCAGGCTGGGGTGGGGCAGGCCACCTGGGTCACCTGGCTGACAGGGCTGTTGTGACAGCCTTTGTGGCCTGCTGTGTCCCTGGCACCAGGGCCATTCAGGAAAGAAGACCAGGAATGAGGAAGTCCCAAAGGTTTCTCTGGGTTTTCATTTCAAGAAACACAAAGTGACCTTTGCTCTGCCACTTGGGCTTGCTGTGGGTTCCTTGTCCCTTCCCCTGGAGAAAGAGGAGACGCTGGTTTCACTTTTCCTCCCGGCTATTTTCACTTTCAGGCTCCCTCAATGAGCACTGAGGAGAGGCGGCAGTGGCCTGGTGTGTGCCCAAACCTCAGGCAGTGTCACGAAGGCCCTGGGCCAAGGCGGGAGATCCCTCGTGGAGCCATCCCAGGCTCGGGGACCGGCTGCTGGTCCACACCAATTGCTGTGACCAGCCAGCCCGCCCAGGAGGGAGGCTGTGACTCCCCAGCTCTCTGGCCTCATCATTTTTGCGGAGAAAGCAGCTTGCAAGAAGAGGCATGATTTGTTCAAATGACACAGCGGTCGGGCCTAGTACAGAGCAGGTGAAGGTAGGAGCTGAACCCTGTCCCACGTCCCAACAGTCTATGCCAGACAGCACGGCTCCCAGCACCCCCGTCCACACAGAGCTGCCTCCCTTTGCCCTCTCTGGCCACTTCCTTCCTGCCCTTACTGTCCCTTTGTGCTTGGACAATTGTCAGGCAGGCCACTCTCACTCAAGCCCCGTTTATCTGATAGGGTTCTCCCAGGGTAATAAACCCGGGCTTCTCAGCCTGAGACTTCAACCCTTCGGATATGTCCTACCCTCTTCCAGAAGAGTCCCTGCTGTGCAACAGGCCACGGGCAGCAGGTCCAGCTCGGACCCCTGGAGTCTGACCATGCCTCACCAGTTGCCACAGGCCCTGGGGCCCTGTTGGACAGTTACAACTGTCCCTGCACTCTCCAGAGCACCCCAACAGCGCCGACCACACTGGGTCAGCAGCCACGCTTCCCTCCATGGCAGTCTCGGCTGCAATCACTGGCAGGTTGACTCAGAAACCTGCTGGGAACTTCATATTTCTTCTCATCATGATTTCCCCAAAGAATCCAGGTCATGAACGAGACCAGATGTTGAAAGATCTAGTGGAAAATAGAGGGTTTACACTGCCTTTTATTCGTGCAGGCAAAGGGTCAGGATGGCCTTGGTAGGCTTGGCGAACAGACCCTCTGTCTACTCTGCCCTCAGGGGCTCTGCTTTGAGGAGTCACTTTGGCATCTGAGCCAAGGAGGAAAACCTGGAGCTGTGACTTTGAGCCACGCAGCCCAGATGGGCATTACGGCCCAATCCCATCCAGCTGGAGCTGAGTCCTGCCCCTGCCCTGCCTGCTGGGAGATGACAGTCACCACTAGAACAACACATGGGGAATCCTTCCTTCCACCGCCAGTGACCTGGGGCCACATCTCCCAAAGAAAGAGCACATTCCATGGCAGGGGCACATGACTTGGTTCTAGGCGCACAAACAAACTCACATTTTTGTAAGTGGTTGTGAGTTTATGTTAACATAAGCTAGAAAAATGTGACATCAAACTACAATAATCATTTATTATAACATGGTATGCTACAGAGTGACTTGTTCAGCCTTTGCCCTCCCATCATGTTATCTAGCCATTGTCAGTACGATGGCTTTATCGTCCCAGGGAGACTGTGACTTCCTTAAGGAAGGGGCCTGTGCCTAATCATGTGTGGTATCCCCTTGGATCTGGCATAGAGAACTCGAGAAACAGGGGAAGCCAGGCATGAAAAGAACCTTAGCTAGGAGTGCGTCTTCCCAGCTCTTGGCCTGGGCAAGGCAGGTTTGGTTTCACATATTGATGCCTGCATCAGTCATTTAATAACATCTTTCATCTGCTTTTATTGACCCCCGTTGCTGTTTTTGGTCCTTCTTTAGTCCTCTTCAAGCCCCCAATCTCCTACGGCCTGGGTGTTGAGGGGCACCTTTATGGCAGCCAGAAGGCACCTCCCCTTGCAGAGTCCTGGACATATCAACATCCAGGACAGAGCAGGTGGCCCTGGGTGCTGGCATCTAGTTGCAGGGCCATTGGAAGGTAGGCAGGGGCTCCTTCTAGGGTGGGCATGGGGGCAGTGGAGGGGAGGGCTGCTGGGCTCCAAGTGGACAGGGAGCCTGTGCCTTGGGGATTTCAATTCGTGCATTGCTGAGTGTCCACCCCATTGTCCCCTGGCAGCTGCAGGATATGAAAGAGGGCTTCTTTTATGCCTCCTCTGAGACATTTAAAAAAATGAAGGATTAAAAGAAACAGGAAAAACTCAGTTTAGATGACAGTGGCCAAGATGAGAGTCAGATCTTCTGGAATGGACAGATTATCCTGGAAGGAACACATTCATTCATTCAACAAATATTTACTGAGTACCTTCAGAAGGCCAGGCAATGATCCAGGCCCTGCGCCAAAGACTTTATTAAAGTGTGGCTGTTTGGCATGATTAAATCAGATCTGGGTTTTTGGTAAGGAAGTGAGTACCATTTTATTACAGTATTTACCAAAGAAAATAGCAAATACTTTCAGGCTTTGTCCACAGAAATTCAACCCCGGCCTCCGCAGCCTCCCATGTCCGTGGGTACGTGCGCCTCAGCCCTCCGGGAACGAGCCCCCTTCTTCCTGTGCAGATATGATCAGCCCTTGCGACTGTGGAAAACAGGGCAGACATTTGGCAAGGAGCGCAAGGGAAAAGCCATTTATTCAGTCCCTCAGGCGGACAGAGGGCAGAGAGGAAGGAGCCCGGGTGGCTCCGGGGCTGTGCCCCTGGGGAGGGACGCTGACCTCAGGCTGGAAGCCGGCCTCTGCCCCTGCACCAGCACGTGTGTGAATTCCGTCCTCTCTCCGGGGAGGCATCTCCCCGTGTGGACAGTCCTTCTGACTCTCAGCCCAGAATGTGGGGGCCAGGGGAGCTCAGAGGAGAAAGTGTTCTGAATGCAATTTGTAACATTTTTAGGCCTTCGCAGAAGTGTGGCTTTATGTCCTCTTAAAACACACGTGGAAGGGCGTAGAGAGAGTGGAAGTCATGGAAGGACTGTCTGATGCTGAGCAGGGTTGAGGGGTGCAGGCAGCCCACCCTTGTGATGGCTGTCACTGCCACGTGCACACTGTCACTGACCATCAACACTGATTTTCTTCTCTCCCCCATAGAAACACCGACCAAGACTCACCGCTGCCAGCTGAACCAAGGTGGAGGCTGAAACCATCCTTCCGGCCTAGGTGGGAGTGGCCTTCTTTTATATGTGACTACTGTATTCACCGAGGGGGTTCAAGACAGTGTGTTTCTTCTAAAACAGTGGTTCACCAAGCGTGGTCGCTGCACCACCAGCAGCAGCAATGCCTGGGAACTTGCTACGAATGCAGAATCTCGGGGCAGCGTCCGGCACTGTGTGTCTGAACAAGTTCTAGGTGCTTCTGGTGCACACTCAGGTGTGAGAACCACTGCTCTCCACGGGCCACCTCCTCTCGTCTGCTCCACAGCCCACACCGGGCCAGGCAAGTGTCGCCACACAGATTTTATGATTCAGAACACCCAGATCCTCAGGTTCGGTGAGTGGCCCAAGGGCCACTCTGACTCCCCAGGGCCCTGCTGCTGTCCACGGGCTGTTCTCGTCACCAACTTTACTGAAGTCCCGTGGCAGCAGGGAAGGCAGAGCAGCAGGGGTGAGTGGAACCTGAGACGAGCTGCTGCAGAGACCAGGTGGCCTGACCTTCTCACAGGTGCTAATCTCCTGTGATTGGCAAGAGACGACCTTTGACACATAAGCAGCATCTAATACAGTTTAGGTCTTCAGGTGTGCCAAAAAGCGGAGAAGCAAACTGCAGCTGGAGTGAAATATCTTGACAGCTTTCCACCCTCTTCCATCACCGGGAGTCTAAATGCCTGCTTCCCTCCACCCTCAAGAAGCTTCTGTACAGAGAATGGCCAAGACTCAAACCTCCGGGCAGAGGCTGTGGACGTTTACAAGGAGCTGGAGAATGTGGACTTGCTAACTTCTGGGGGACGTGGGGACTTGGGTAGAATGAGCTTTAAAAAGAAGAGGGGAGTGATTGGGCTGGCATGAGGTACAGAAGGGGTGTGTATGGGCTACCCTCCTTTGTGTCACAGAATACCCACTGAGGGACACTGTCGCAGTCTGGGCAGTGAGACCCACACTCCTGATATCCTAGCTCAGTTGCAGAGAATGAGTTCTCCCAGCCTGGGATGCACAATGCCGCCGTTACCATCGCTACTGCTTGCTGCTATTGCAGCTGCTGGGCTGCGAGGGGTGGCAGAGACGTCGAGCGAGACTCCGAGATTCCTGCCTTAGCATTCTTGGTGAGAAACATGTGAGCAGGAGGACGAGGAGGTTTGGGGGAGGAAGATAGGGGCGCTCAGCTGAGTTCCAGGCATCTGTGGGCCGGCCAGGTGACAGGGCCAGGGCCAGAGGCCCCAGGCATAAGGCTTGAAGGTCAGAGAGGGTCTGGGCTAGGGAAAGGTGGCTGTGCATCTCCAGCAGCAGGTGGCAGCTGATGAGGCCCTGGGGTGTGGAGAGGAAGAAGACAGGATCGGAGCCCAGGGGCAGCACTGGTCAGGGGTGTGCCCACGACGAGGGCGCTGGGAGGAGCCTGAGAAGCAGCCGAGCCGGGGGAGGCGCAGGAGAGGGCGAGGGTGCTCGAGAGGGGAGAAGGCTCCCACGGGAACCGCAGGGCTGCTGGGCCGCCTGGAGCAGGGCCAGGGGGCCAGGGATCTACTGATAATTCCTCTTGTCAGGCGCAATTCCACTGGGATGGGGAATCTCCAGGCCAGGCTGCCGTGCATCGAGCAGAGACTAGTAAGTGAGAAAAATAGGGATGATGTCAGAAGCTTGACAATAAGGGGAGGACAAAAAGCAGGACAGTGGCGAGAGGAGGAAAGCTGGGCGTGGGGGTGTTGTTCTTAGTGTGGAGAAGCGTGGAAACATACACAAATCTGCTGAAGGAAGGTGTGGGGAGAGAAAGTTAAAGATGCAGGGGAGAGGGAGGGGATCTCTGACTGAGAAAGCAGAAGGGACTGGACAAAGCACAGCTCAGGGGCTACCCTTAGTCCAAAAGGGGACAGCCCTTCTGCAGACAGAGCCCTCTGTAGGCTGGACAGGAAGTGAAAATAGGAGGGGACAGACAGATGGCACAATTTAAAGCGTCAAAGCCTGCATGTCTCTGTGGAGTGCGAGGTCAGCTGCAGGTGGAATGTGGCCAGAGAGCAGCGTGAGCATTGCAGAGGTGGGGCGACTGGGGGTGGGGGCTGCGTGGGCTGGGCACAGGTGACCAATGAGGCCTGGAGGTGAAGGCCTCTGAAAGGGAGGAGGTCAAGAAATGAGGGTGTGGGCAGGGGAGGGTGGTCCCGGTGGACGTGGACATTGCCCAGGGCGGTAGCGGTGTGAGTGAAGGCTGAGAGGAAACATTCTGGGTTAGAGCCCAGCCTGCCTGGAGGAGTGGGGGAGTGGGACACAGAAGGGATGTTGGCAGGCAGGGGGACATGGGGGTGTGGGAGCCTCACAGGAGCCCGGGCTCAAGAAACAGGCTTGGAGGGGGCCTCAGAGACCCAGGGGAAAGCCGCACCCCACCCACTCCCTGGCCCTGGGTGCTGGAGAAAGAGCAGCTGCTACTCAGGAGGGCGCAGGGAGTGGGGCCCGTGAGAGCAGCTGAGCTCCAGCAGAGGCGAAGGTGGAGGGAGCAGAGGGGGCAGAGGCCAGGGAGCTGGGGGTGGACTATGGACCCTGGGCTCCAGGGGGCTGGGAAGGGGCTGGAAGGGGCAGGACAGTGGGAGGGTAGGCCTGGGAGGAAGATTAGAGGAGTCCTCAGGTGGAGGAAGCAGAGGAGCCGAAACCAACGCTTTGAGTTTGGGACCATGTTCCAGCTGGGTGGTGGTCACAGTCCCTGACTTACACCTGGTGCCTCACCAGAGTCAAGTCTTGGCTGATGACGGTCTCTTGTTGCTTTTGATGCCCTCTTCTCTCTCTGCCTGGACAAAGCCCACCCACCCTAACTCGGGTCCCACCTTCTCTACAAGCCTTTCTTGAGCATTCCTGGCCTCGGGACCCTCTTACTACATTCTTTGTTTCCTCATGTTAATCCCCGAATAAACTTGAAATTTCACTTTACAGTTTCATGTATATAGACTCATAAATAAAATGGATGGGTCTCCTAACCTTTTTGATTACACACCAAAGATTTATCACGTTTTATGTGGATATTACTATAGCAATATATTATGTATATTATAAAACATCTAAAAAGTAGAAACTAAAAATTACGAGACAGCAAATATCTCTAAATGGAAGTTGTGCTATATTCTGCCCACTGCCTGAGGGACAGTCCTGTGTCCCCATCGTGGTGCACACACTGCCCTTTAAAACTGGTATCGCTGGGGTGTGCCGGTGCTGCTCACATTTCCTCCACCTCTCCTTTGTGAACAAGAATTGTGTTGGGCATATAGCAGTGCTATGTGCAATATTTGTGGAAGGGACAAATTCACAAGAATGTTTTGGAATAGAGGTGTGAACAAAAGTCCTGTGAGAAGCAATTTAGAGGATACTTTATTCCAGTGAAGTTTGCAAACCGGGAGACGCAGCCTTTGGGGTAAAAGGAAAGTGGGTTCCAGAGAACAAAGGGTGGGTTTGGCTTTTACAAAGAAAGTTTCCAACCAGGTTCCTAATCAGGTCTATTTATGCAAATGAAGGATTCAAACATGCTTAGTTCTGATTGGTCAATGCAGCTGATCCCTGATTGATGGATGGATACAGCTGAGCTGTGATTGGTTGATACTGCTGAGCTCTGAAGTCCCTCAGTTAGAGGTGTGGGTTTTCGGGAAACTCAGAGTATGTGTGTGACCTCTAGTTAGCAATTGGCCACTTGGTGCTATTTAAAATTTAGGGCCAGTTAGCCACTGGGGATCCACCTTGAAGGACTGGCTCTTTCAGATTCACATTCGTTCACATTCTCCACTCTCGAATGAAACCTGTTAGCAGACGGTGCTGATCGAACAGGTTGGCTGTGTTCCAGTCAGAGTGCAGGGGTGATTAGTTACCTTCTCTGGGTCCATCTACTCCCTCACAGGGATCCTGGTGGCAGGGCAGTGACCAATTGAGCAACTAGAGCCATTTATTTACACACTCGGGTGCCTGTTAAATTTGAATTAAAGTCCCTTGGGTTAAGTTGGTTCCATTTTCCAGCTGGAGCAAATTTAAAGCCTTAAGGTGTTGGGTCAGCACAATCCTGGTGGGGGTCTCTCGCAGACATCTGTTTAAAAAGGCTAAAACAATTTTAAAGGGGAGCCAAATGCTTAGTCCAACTCTGAAGAGAGGATCATTAAGACTTGCAGGGCGCAATGCAGAAGGGATTCTATACCAGTAGAAGCCAGCTGAAAATATCTAGAAATTGGAAATTTAGTGCAGTAAATCCAGCCAGGAGGCCTTCTGAAGATGTCCCTTTCAGAGACTTGGTCAGCTTTAGGATCATAGATGTTTCTAATTCAACCTATCTGGAAGTATTTACCCAGATATAGCAGGAAGTGTTAGTGACAGCACACACAGCTTGTGCAGCAAGATGACTGTCTCAAGCAATGCAGCTGTCTAGGACCACAAGAGCAAGGGAATCTAGGGACGTGTATTGCACCCTGGTGGCTTGGATGATGGAGTGGGCAATTCTGCTAACCGTGTAGGAAACGTTTTCTGATTATATCTAATCGTTGCAAGCAGGGCCTATTTTAAGCCAAGACCTCAGAGTCCTTCCCTATCTAGCTTCTTCACTAGGGTTACCCCCACCCTCAATAAATCACATCCTTGAGGGGGTCCACAACGATTATCTTCACAATCTGAAGCCTTATCGTCAGTGTTTGATGGTCCCCAAGGACTATTAGGTGGCTCTTGGAGTGCAGGGTAGGTAGCCTTGGTGAGGCTAAATGAAAAGATGGGAATTTGGGTAAAAGCTATTTCTGTGGCAAAAGATTCTGGTGAGGACAACTTAAGCATTATTTCCCCTTTTTGGGAGAAGGAAATATGGTCTTGGTAGGTTTCCAAGGAGGTCCTTCCCAGGGGTTGTATAAGGGCTGACAGGACAAGCAAAAGGCAATGACTGCTAGTGAGGGGTCCTCATTGGAAGGGCCTAGGTAGAGATTTAGGGACAGTCATAGGTTGCTTGGTTATCCTGGCCATCTGGATGGATTCAGGACTCTGTGGAGGGGACACTGAGATGTGTCAGGGTTAAGGATGGACAACCTAGCCCTAGTGTCAACCACAGCTCTGACTGGTTAGTCTCCAATTTTAATATCGAATCCCCCTAGTTGGTTAATTTTGAGTAGGGGAAATGTCTCCTGAATGTCCCCAAAACATCCCTACCTAGTTTTGCTTAGGGGAAGAGGGCTGGGGGACTTCATTGACCCCCGGATTGTGTTGTAGCCAAATATTGGAGGAAAACAGGAGCATTCAGGATCTAGTCCAGTGTACAGATTGACAACAAGAACTTGAAAACAATGCCCAGGGCTACAGTCTAGTAACAGGTGTATCTTAGTTTGGGTGGGTTTTTTGTTGTTGTTGTTTTGTTTTCAGAAACATAACTTTTTCTCTTCACTGATCATATTGGAATCTCAGATTTAAAAACCTCTTGAGGCTAGGAAGCCAAACCAAGGGAGGCTTTAGATTTTACTCACAGTCTTAAGATTCTTGGACTGCCAGAACGTGTCAGTTTTTTCTTATTCACTGTAAGGCTGGGAACTCTTGGAGCCAGGCATTTTATGCACATTCTTAAGTATGACATTTCAGCCAAAATCTTGATAATATAACCAATGTTCCCAATTATATCCTGCTTATAAAGAGAGAACAGATTTTTATTGAACTTCCATAAATAAAAGTAAGAATACTCATGAATAGTTTCTGAATTTTGGAGGAATCAAGTAGGGAAAAAAAGAAATGCTTCCACCTTTGTTCACAAAAGGATGCAAACTGATCACAAAATGATTGCAAACTATAGATAGCTTATGAAAGAAAATTTCCTTGAGTCTGGAAAATAAAACATTTCAGTAAAGAACCAACAACTTAAAAAAAGTCATAAAACATTATCCTTATCAATTACTTAATTTCATATACTTAAATTTGTTTTATTCAATCTTGATTAACAGTTCCAGGAAAAGAAATTTTGGACTATAGCTGATTGCAAATGCTTCCAGAGAAGAATTTAAAAGAATAACTGTGGATGGCAAAAACCCAGAACAGCCACGGTCAAAAATCTGATGTAAGTTCATGATGGACGAGATTTAGTTATTTCTGTAGTATATAACAATAATCATAATCATTACTGATAACACATATCTGGCATAATTTTAGGAATCTCTTACAATTTGGGAACATATTTTAAATAACATGCTTACCAAAATATAACTTAAAGGAAGTTAAATACCATTTCTTATTTGACAAGGCTTCCTGTATGATTTACCAATAAGTATAATCAGTCAGTATCTCATAAGATAAGGCATACACTCTTTGAGGCTCTCCAGTGGCCCAACTGGAAAATCTCAAAGTTAATTTTAGGTACAAAAGACTTAATTTTGGATTTTGATCCTGGTGAAACCTGCCAAAGGTGGTGAAAGGTCCAAAGTACTTGATTAAACAGATTCATAGGTCACTGCTAAATAATAGTTATTCATTTAACCAGAGTGATACTCAAAATACTTCAAAAACAATACAGAATACATGGATGTATTAACCCTTTTAAAGCTCAGTTTTCCTAAGTAATCAAAAGCTTAATAAAGACAATATGAAGCACAGGAAATTATCCTGGTAAAATACAGAATCTTTGTTTCCTAGGCCAGTTACCTAAAGGGCAAAGAAAAGAAAACCTTCTGCAGTGGGATTGCTTTTCCTCATGGAAAGCCTATTTAGATAACCTAGGAGTTAAATTTGATTTTAACAAAAAGAGTATTAGGATTTAATCAGTCACAGGAAAAGTGTGTCCACTCTTCCGGTTATGAGTGTACACTATATTATAGAAGAATGTAAATAAGAGAACTGGTACCTTGAACAGGGGAATACATGGTTCTTAGTAATAACATAAGAAATTTCCTGGTTATAAGAAAAAATTCAGACATATCAAGAAAAGTCAAAAGTACATAATCAAGTTATACTGGAGGAAATACTGCTTTTCTAGACCTTCAAGATAAATACTTTAATGTCAGGTCATAACGGCAGTGCTAGAAGCAGAGAAAAACATGAGAGGAGTTGAAGACAAGGTTGAAGGAGAATGTTATCTCTCCAGCCATGCAAAAGTGCATGGGTAGAAAGGGTAGAAAGGAGAGCTGAAAACTGAAACTAGGAAAATTAGATAGATCTCAGGAAGAAATGTGGCAGAAATAGACTGTACAGATTTCAGAGCCAAACATCAAAACCTCTAGCAAATCAATATTTTAAGAAAACCTTGCTGTTCTAACATAGGGGACCCAAATTTTAAGTTCTGTATCAGTGTGTTTTTAACATTAAAATTCAATCCCTAGAAAGACCCACACACAATTTCCTTCCAATTGTAGCCAACTTAATTACACAGAAAATTGTTCTTATAAATTTTCTTTTCATAAACCTTATCATGAACTTACTTAGACCATTTATGACATGCTTGGACTTTCTGCTTGGTCATATACTTCCTCTTTCTTAAATAAGCAATCATTTTACTCTAGGACAATAATTTACTATACAAGATTCTTTCTTGTACAAAATTATTCTCTTTTCTTTTCAATATTTCCTACCAAAAATACATCCTACCCTCCTCATATACTTGCATACAGAATTGTCTTTCTCTTCTGTGGTAGTTTAATCACACACATTACTTACATTGTTAACTCTTAGCAACTCTAATTTTCAGTAAACACCTGAGAAGTAAGCAATTGTTAACCATCAATCACATACCAATAATCCATGATATACACATTTTACAATTTCCAGAGACACTGACATTCTAACAGAACAACTCTTTAATACGGAACAGGCTATTTTTACTAATAGACCCAAATAAATTTTATTTCTCTGAAGAAGCCAAAAGCATATGAGCTTACACTCATATTCAGTAGCCAGCATCTCAGCATTGCATCTTCTAGACATTCATTGAATATCCATCATTTAATTTAGCTTAGCAAAACTCTAAGGCTGTAGTTACTAAAGAAAGATATTTGAGAAGCCTTCCTAAGTAAAAATATTACAAAACACAACCATTATCAAAGTTTATTTACAAACTTTTTCCCATTTGCATCTATTCAATTTATTCTTTTAACAATTATATTAGGAAAATTCATGAAACACTGGACAAATCTAGCCACCATTCTAAGCTAAATTTTCTATCAACAAATTTCACATTACTGCATGCCAGGCAAGTATCATAAAATCAAGAACCCTAAAGTTAAACACACACATAATATTTTTCTGATAACTCACAAGACACAGCCATTCCCATCAAGCCAATAATATGAGAGTAGCTCCATCCACCAAAGCATTACTAAGTCACATGAACTTGAAAAGCATCTGGGCTTATTTGCTTAATTTATGAGTACTCATTTACTTATAAGCCAATCTGATACTGTAGACAATACACAAAAAGACATGTATACACATGCATGCACAAAAATACAGGCAGTCACACAGATCTTATAGCTTTAATTTTAAAACTTTAGTCATGAGTTGAGTAAAACTAGTTTAAAAGGACAGTTGGATTCAAACTGTCTCTCTAGATGAAACAGTCTGAAATTTATCTGTCCCCCAGACTGAAGCCCTTACTGAATTTTAGAGAAAAGATGCTAGCAAATTTACATCTCAAGCACAGAGGGAACTTAATTAAGCTCTCTTAAGAAGGAATTTGAGTGTGCTAGAGGGGGATTGAAATGCATGCCAAGGTAACATGAATCATGAAATTTATCACAGGATTTTACAAAGAAGCATACAGATGAGCGTAGGGAAAATTTAAGAATCTTTTCAAGATAACCAGCTGAAAGAGTGAAAGAGGAAGGAGAAAGTGAAGGATAAAGCAGAGGTGGCAAAAAAGTTGCAGAAGACATGCAGAGTGGCAGACCAGGGAGGCTAGGTGAAAAGAGGTCTTGTTTTAACAGCTTTGGTTTCAGTCTCACATGTGCTAACCTCTCTTCCTATTTCATGAAGGTGCTCACTCAATTTGGAATTATTTTCTCTAAGATTCCATTTAGAACTTTCAAAGTGCTGATTGAAGAAAAAGTTTCCCATTGTCTCTGGGAAATTCAGTATTTTCTTTGTTCTAATTGTGGGTGCAAATAGGCAAGTTTGAAATTTCAAAGGAGCCCCATTTTACCAATAAAGTTTAAGATTATCCTGGATAATTTTTGTCCAAAGATCTAGCCAATTGTAACTCCCTGGACTACAGTTTTTGCTCATAAAGCCAGCCACGGTGCCAGAAGGTGGCTGATCAGCAGAAAAAACTTAAAACATGGGTTACCCATGGCACTGACCTGACCTTCCAGTCCCTTTAGCACAAGCATCCCCACAAAACCTTATAGACTGGCCGAATCCAGCTAGGAAGCCTCCCCCTGCCGGGGCTGACTGGGAAGGCCCCATAAATCCAGGGCCAACAAGGAAGGTCCCCTCTGGCGCACAGAAGGAGAGAACTGGCAGGGAAGCCCCCTCACCTCCACCCACAAAGCCTAAGGCTAAAAGGAAGGTCCCCTCTGTGGTCCAGATGGAGGGAACCTATGGGGAAGGAATACAGTCTCCAAGACCTCAACCAAAACATGGAGGTCTGAATTTGAGAAGATTTGCCTTCACCACTGCCCCTGCAGTCCCCCCAAAAGACAACTGAGCTCAAAGGGCTCTTGCAAGCACACATGTGTTGGCTCAGCACAGGCCTGGGAGGACTGTCACTTCAAATCTTGCTTCTGACACCAAGGATGTGAACAAAAGTTATCTGAAGAGGAATTTGGAGGAAAGAGATTTTATTCCAGTGAACAGTTTGTGAACTGGGGAGACACGCCCTCCAGTGTAAAATGAAGCTGTGTTCCAAAGAGCAAAAGGATTTGGCTTTTATAAAGTTCCCACCCAGGTTTCCAATCAGGTCCATTTATGCAAATGAAGGCTTCAAACTTGCTTAGTTATGCTTTGTTAATACAGCTGAACCCTGATTGGTTGATATTGCTGAGCTCTGCAAGTCCCCAAATTAGACAGAGGTGTGAATTTTGGGGGAACTCAGAGGAGGTACGTGAGCCGTAGTCAGCAAATGTCACTTGGCTCTATTTAAAATTTAGGCTCAATTAGCCACTTGGGATCCATCTTGAAGGATTGACTCTTTCATGTTCACATTTGATCACAGAGGTGAGGCCAAAGAGTGTGGCCAATGACTTTGGAACTAGATGGGTTGCAGCTAGTGAGCTCTGTCCCTTGCTAGCCCTGTGACCAAGGACCAGTGCTTAACCTCCTTGAACCTCAGTTTCCTCCACTGTGAAAGGGGCATAAGGATGGGAGCTCCTCACGGGCTGTTGTGAGACGCAGTATGCAGTAGGCAGGGAGGGGAGCGACCACGAAGCAGCAGCAGCAGCTCTTTCTTGCTGTTTGATCTGATTGCGCCAAGTAGCTGAGCTCTCCTCTGAGCACAGAGAGTAAGTGTCATATTTATATCTGACATTATGACATAAGCATTTTCCTTGTTGTTACAGATTCTTCACGAGCATAATTTTTAGTGGCTGTGCACACCCCATACAGCTGTTTCTCTACACATTTTGGAGCCCGTTGCAGCTCACACCAAGGTGTGGGCAGTGCTGCCTCCACTCTCGTCATCTCCTTAGCCGCCAGGGCCTGATCCCAGCAGGGGATAGTGGCACCTTAAGACCCAGCAGGAAGACAAGGTCTGCGTTCAGACGACTTGGGTGCCAGGTCGCACTGACCCCTCACGAGGACAGGGGAGCCCTTGGCCTCCAAGCTTTTGTTCCTCTTCTTTGAAACATGATAACAACAACCAGACTTGCCTCACGTGGCAACCATGAGTTTAAATGAGGTGCTGGCTCCGAGGCTGCTGTGTGAACTGCCCAGTGTTGTCCAAACCTTGGTTTATTGAATTTATCAGAACACTTCAGATGCCAGCAACAGGAAATCCAGCTCAACAAAACTTAAACCATAAAGGGAATTTATTGCTCAAGAACTGCAAAGTCCAGATGCAATGGCCCAGTGGGACCCAGAGCCTGAAGGATGTGGCCACAGACCTCGGGAGCTCTGTCCCACACTCACACTCCTCTGGTGTCCACGTCCTGGGCCAGATTCTCTCCAGGACTCCCCAGAGCCAGACACGGAGGGAGTAAACCGTCCTGTCCCTCCAGCAGAGGGCCTGAGTGGCCAGGCCTGGGCCCGTGCCCTCCTGCCCTGGTGGGCTCCTAACCTGAGAGTGGTGAGGGCTGGTACCCCAAAGGAAGGTCAGAGTGCTTTCACCAGAAGAGGGACAGATTTGAGGAGGGGCAGACAGCAGATGCCCAGCTCGTTGACCCCTGTTCCTACTGCTGTAGCTGGAGGGGCGGTTCTCAGAGCTGGTGCGGCCAGGCGCCCTGCGTGGTGTAGTCTCCACACCCCGGCGTGAGAGGGCCACGGGCTCGCTGTCCTCCAGTCAGAATCCTCCCTAGTCCTCCCCTCGGCCTCCTCTCCTGCCACCTGCACAGGTAAGCAGTGAAAATTCTCTTCCTAAGTCCCCTGCAACGGGGCCACACCCCCAGGAGCTCCCTCCCTGTGACCATGAACAGGGAGGAGGCCTGACTCCCAGTGACCTCATTAGGTGACTCAGCGCGCACCGCACTGGGCCCAGGGTGTGTTAGGACCAGGGCCCAGGTGAAGGGCCCCACCGAGCTTTTATAGGCCCTGATGTTTACAGCTGAGAAAGCAGAGCTGATGCTGCCTGGGAGAACCCGGCTGGGCCGGGGCGGGGCCGGGCACAGGGCAGGCTGTGGTCCAGGAGCCTGGAAGCTGCTGTCCGGTGTTCTCAGCCCCAGCTTTGTTCATTGGGAAATAAGGTGCGCAGGAAGTGCGCCCCCCACCAGCCCCCACGCCCGAGTGGCGGGCAGAGGCAGGCTCTTCTGATGGATCAGTCCCCGCTGTGTCTCCTGCGGGTGGCATCCTGCTATCTGTACTTGTGTTTGAACTTGGTCCCTGCCCTGAAGGCTCACAATCCACTTGATACGGGTCAGTCCAAACAGTGCAGCCAGGGCGTGTGTGTGGCAGGGCAGGCACCTGTTCCCTTCCCCGGGCAAGAGAGAAACAGGGGTCACTACCCTTGGGAGCAGTGGAGGGGTGCCGAGGGGCCAGGAGGGCAGGAGCCAGGGAGCCTGGGGCCTTTGGCAGGGAGCCAAGGAGGCCACAGACAAAGAGGGAGGAGAAAAGGGGGCCAGAGATGCAAGACTGAGGAAAAGGGGGATCCCTCCCAGAGGTGAGGGCGGGTCAGGTGAGAGCATGAGTCCAGACCAGGGCATAGGACACTGGGCAGGGCACACGAGCCCCAGAGTGACTACGTAAGTAACACAGGTGTTGTGGGAAATCTAGAAAAGATGCTCAGGGCACTTCCTTGTTAGACCCTCCGTGGGCTGACCCTGCTGTGAACAAGGTGACAAGATTGAAGGAGAGGACAGAGGGACAGCATCTCTGATCAGGGAGTGCCAAGAGAGCTTTAAGGAAGCCTGCCTTCGAGGTGTGTGCGCGCGCGCACGTGTGTGTGTGTGTGTGTGTGTGTGTGTGTGTGTGTGTGTGTGCTGCAGCCACGCCAGCACCAGGGCTTGGGCTCCCAGGGAAGAGAGATGGAATTCAAGGTCTGGGACTAGGACTCCAGCCTCTCTCATGTGCACATAGAAGGGAAGTTTCAGGGGGAGAGAGGAAGAGGCCTGGGACACCTTCCAGGAACTATATATAGGATGCTAGCTGTAGAGCCACCCACGCCCCAGAGTAAGCAGGACCTCCTACAGAGTAAAGTGGGAATAGCTTAGGAGGGAAGAGGGGGCCATGAGAGAAGCACTGCTGAACTCAGAAGAAAAGGACAGTAATAATGGTGACTATAATTGAGCACTGTGAGTCCAATTCACACCTCTTAACAGCTCTGTGAAGTAGGCACTGCACAGAGAGGTTAAGTGACTTGCCTAAGGTCACACAGCTAGTAAGTTGACAGTGCTGGGATAGAACAAGAGAATAACCACCTGGGGTCCAGGACTCGGGGGGCTCTACAGTTGGTGTTGTCATGCCATTCTTCCTAACTGGCCTTCCTCTATAGAGAGCAGGAGGGTGTCACTGTGAGGAAGAAGAGAGCTAAGCGATGGAAATTCAGTATGAAGAATGAGTTTGAGTGTCATAGAGAAAAATATCCAGAAATGCTCGAATCCACTGAACTTAGTAACTATACCACTGGCAGTCGGTCCTAAGGCAAAGAACTTTCTGCAAAAAGTTATCCATCAGGTGACTATCTGTAAAAGATGAAATTTGGAGAGACCCTCGACATTCAACAGCAGAGGAGGGTTTAAATCACTCCTGGTCGCCCACGTAGCCATTCAAGAGATAGTGAAGAAGACCCCTCTAGACACGGAACAATGCTCATTGTGAAAGGTGGGATACTGAGGGTACACCATGATTTTTCTAACTTAAAAACATGCTTATGGGAGAAAATTAGAAAAATTAGAAAATTGGGAAAAATTTAAATAGTGGTGTGAAATGAAAACTGAATTAAACAAATATTTTATTTCTCCCAGTAGAGTTAAAACACAGTACATTATTTTCGAGAGAGTAGAGTGTAAAGATTAACAAGCAGTTTCAGAACAAGTATCGTGGCAGAAAGACAAGCTGTGCTTCTCTGTGTGCTTGTCAATGTCGAGATGGCAGGACCCACTGGGTCCCCAGCCCAGCACAGGACTGAGGGCCTTACAGGTGCTGGCTGGCTGTGCGTTGAGTGACCCTGGCAGGATCCAGAGGTGGGGCTGGGAACCCTGCTGCCCAGGAGTGGCTGACTATCATGCAGGAGTGGCGATGAGCTGGCACACCCGAGGACGAGGACCGGGACGGCTGTGATAAGCACCCCTGCAGGTGGAGGGTACGGCCTGAGCCCAGGTGGGTGGAGTGCAGATAGGGCCAGGCTGGAGCACCCACCCCCAGGGAGGAGGCTGCTGGGGGAGTGGACAGGGGAGGGTGTGGGGTGAGGCCTGTTGGGGTTTTTTCTTTTCGTACCATAGCAGCGAGTGACCTCCACTGGGTGACACTGGGAGCTGGAACAGGAAAGTCAGGCCTTGAGGAAGTCCCTCGTGGAAGACAATGGAAGCCCCATCCCCTGTGTGCCAGGCCCTGTGCCCAGCACTGGGGGACTCCAGGTAAAATGAAGGGCAGCTGGGGTCCTGGGAGGTGAGACACCCTGAGGCTGCTGTGTCCCTCCCTTGCCATATTGCATTTCCTCGGGTGGGGGCTGGAGGGCAAGGTCTGCCTCTGGTACTGAGAGGGAGGAGGGATGGAAGGGACAATGGCACACTGCAGGTGCTGCAGAAACCCATGCTAGAGGAGGCAAGAGCAGAATGGGGGGTTCCTGGAGGTGAATCTAGCGAGGGTCCCCAGCCTGTGGTCAGACCTTCTTCAGGGAGAACTCACTAGGCCAGGTGGGGCGTGGGTAACAGGGTCTGCCTCTCTGGGAGGAGGAAGGGGGGCTTTTGGAGACAGCAGGGCTGTGTGAGGCACCAAGGGTGGCTTCTGACCCTTGAAGGGTCATCCCGTGTGTGGGTGTTAGACATGGCCTGCCCACATGCTGTGGCTAAGTCCCTTTGAGCAAAAGTGCCCCAGGAGCTCAGATTCTATGCCCGGCTTTGTGGATTGAGGCCTGGCTCTGCCACTTACTAGCTATGTGACCTGACCCAGTTATTTTACCTCTTTGTGCCTCAGTTTATGTTTATGTGCCAAACATAAAATGGCACTAATAAAAATAACCTCTGTCACTGGGTTGTTTTGAGGATGAAATCAATCAACGTTGTACCAGTACCAGGCACAGACTGTCTGCACTGTTTGTTAAATAAAAATATAAAATAGTGGTCAAGGCGGCCCACAGACTGCCCCACTAGTGACAGTGACAAAGTGATGGAGCTCTTGGCTACAAACATGCCCTCCGACTTGGGGAGGGGCAGTCACAGAAGGACCCCCAGCCCCCATACCTGCTGGCGGATGACATACCAGGAGCCAGACAGCCAGAGTGAATCTTTTGTGATCACACTCGGGCATCCAAATGGCCAAGGGACCTTCGTCAGCTGTCGCAAGAGTGGGCAGTGTGACCCAACAAGTGCATGGCCAGCCACCGGTGAGAACGGACAAGGCTGAGAAGACCCGAAGACAACCAGAGGCCTCCAGGGGGTGGCAGGAGTGGGGTTTTGACAGAGAGAGTGACGGCCAGGAGGTCCAGGAGCAATGAGGCCTTCCCCAGACACTGGGGTCTTTTTGGAATTCATTTCAGCTTAATCCCATTTAATAAGCGTGTGTAAGCAACAGGATATGCTGGGCCAACTAGAGGATACAAAGAGACTTAACACGGACCCTTTGTCCTCGCAGAGCTCCCAGCTGGGCTGGAGGAAGAGACCGAGAGTGCAGTTTATGAACGTCAGTACCGAGCACTGCAGCTATGGCAGCCGCCCGGCACCAAGGCGTCCCCTGAGCCAGGCTCTCTGAGCGTGGTCTCTTGTGCACTTTAGGGCAGCTCATCTCAAAGAGAAGGCACCGAGGGGCCGATGGGCTCAGCAAGCTCCAAGGCGACGCAGCTGATGAAGGGTAGTCCGCATCTTTGCTCACTACAAGGTCTGTGCCCTTGGCCACCACACATATTGTCTCCACTGCGACCTGTGACAACAAAGGCAGGAACCCACTGTGTATGTTAGGGAAGAGCCCTGGGCCTCAACGTGTGCATCTGTAAAATGAGAGTAATGACCTCTGGTTTCCTGAGTGATGCGGGGCCATGTGTGTGATGGGACTGTACCCCTGCAAGACGTGATTCCTCTGTTGTTACGAGGCCCAGAGCAGGCAATGACGTGAGCCACCCCTTGAAGGGCAGAAGCCGAGCATCATGGGGCAGTGCGGGCAGGGACCGTGTGAGCAAAAGCCCCGAGGTGGGGATGAATGTGCAGCTGCCCCAGCCGGGGACCTGGGAAAGTTGGGGACACTCAAGCGGGGGGGGGGGAGCCTGGAGCTGCTCAGTGCCTCCCTGTCTTTCTCCTTCCCTCTGCAGCCTCAGGAAAGTTGTTGGTGCATTGTCTGCGCTTTCTCCCTCCCAGTCCCTCCTCGACCCACACAGCCTGGCCTCTGCCCACATCTCCCACTGCGAACACTACCCACGTTCCTCAGCGGCCACGTCGCCAGCCCAGTGGTGGCTCATCCGGCCTTCCCTCCCCTCCTCAGCAGCCAGGCCAGTGCTCGCACCCTCCTCTTGCAAACATGGCCCCAGGGCTCTGCCAACACCCCTCCCCTGGTTAACTTCCCTCCACTCTGGCTCCATCCCCTGGGCCACCCCTGATATTGCTGTGACCCATCGCGGACCTACTTCTCATCAGCGCCTTCTCACAGGGAGATTGACCCTTCTTGAGGTCAGCCGCCTCCTCCACGGGGCATCCCCAACCGCATCCCGACCCAGCATCCCAGACCCTGACGCTGGACCCGCATACCCAGCTGCCTCCTGAACATCTTTACTTGGGTGTAGTCTGCGCGGTTGGAGTTCAGGATGAGCCTGGGGTGCCTCGCTGGCTTTCCCTAATAGCTGCTGCTCCTTCTAGGCCCCCTGTGCCAGCAGTGGGCATCACTCATGTGGGCTGCCCAGGCCAGATCTCTCTCACTGACGTGGATGCCATCTCCCTTGACGTTTCTAGAGCCGTGCTCTTCTCCCAACACCCATCCCACCGCTGCAGTACGGGCCTTTGTCATGGCTCCTGGATTCTTTTCTCAGGCTGCCCCATTTCACTCTCACCTGCAGCCACAGAGGTCTAGGTGAGATGCAAATCAGCCCAGGGTCCCCATCCAAAAGCCTTATTGCCTCGCCACTGGGCTGAGGATAAAGCCTTAAGTTCCAGCCTCGTTGCCTCACACATGCCCACTGCTCTTGGTCGTGTGCTGAAGCCAGAATGAACCCCTAGAGCAGGTTTACCCTCCTTACCCTAATCCTTTCAATCCTTCCAATCCTTAGGGCTCAGCTTGATAGTCACCTCCCCCAGGAAGCCTTCCTGCTGCCCAGGGTGAGTTAGGGCCCCTCTTCTGTATTTCTATGGCAGCTGTGTACAACAGCTGGGAAAACGCCTCCAGCACTGCATGCCTTACTGCAGCTGCTTTTGGCAGAACCTTCTTATCCTTCCCACAGCACACTGATGCTTTCCTTTCTCACTCCCCACCCTGGGACCATCAGGAGATGTTTTTGTACTTTGGTTTTTTTTTTTTTTTTTTTTTCAGTGCTAGGAAATACTTGCTGAAATTGAAGGATGGCAAGGCTGGGAGATGGACCTTGGGGGTGCTCTTTTAAGGAAACAAGCTGTTCTTTGTGTAGACACTGGAAGTTGAAGACACAATGTCATTTCTCTCCGTTTCCATAATAGAACTCCAACTTTGTTCAGGGGGCAGCAATGGTATTAACCATATGTCTTGGTGTCCTTTGCAGATGGCAGCTATGTCACCCAGTATTGGCCAACGAGACTTAAGCAACTGTGCATGCAAGGGGGGATTTGCTTCCCTGGTGTGAGCATGGCCCCTTCCTGTTTCCTGTTTTCCACTTCTTTCCTGGAATTAGGCAAGGAGGCTGGAGGTGGAGCAGCCACCTTGTGACAATGAGCCAGCCATTGGGATGGGAGCCACACACTAAGGGATCCTGGAGTGGTCTAGGCCATGACCCCTAGATTACCGACTAGCAGACCTCTTATTATGAGAAACAAATAAATCTCATTTAAGTCATTTTGGTTGGCTCTCCATTACATTTAGCCAAACTCCACCTAGTCAAGGTCAATGAAAGCAGATAAGCATCTGTGAGCATTTCTGAATAGGCCTTTCCTTGGGAGAGGATGCTGGTGCTGACAGCGGGCAGAGGGCCAGGGTAAAGGAGCAGGACGAGGTGAGGGCTGGAGAGGCTGGTCCACCCTGGGATACTACCAGGGGATCATAGTAAGTCCTCAGGGTTTAAGGAAGAAGCTCCAGCCATGGTGACCCTCATATGTCTGTGACCTTGGCTTGGATATTCTCTGGTCCCTGCCTGTTGGACTTGTGAATGGGGCTGTTCAACTAAATTCTCCATGGCACAGTGCTTCAAGTGTGGGCTTTGGAGCCAGGCAAAGCTGAGTTCAGGGTCCAGCTCCACCACTCACTAGTGGCAAGCAGGTTTACCTAGTAGTTTCACTAGTTTCACTAGTGGTGTAGCCATCAGACAACTTTTTTAGTTGGCTGCTCTGGCATCCTCATCTGTAAAGTCCAGGCTGTAACAGCACCTATAACTGTAGGGCTACTGTTGGGGTTACATGGAACCATGCATGTGGGTGCTCGGGAGAGTGCCTGGCACAATGCACCATGTATGTTACAGTCAGCGCCAGCACACATTGAGTGCTCCGTGGTGGTAGCTGTCCTTGCGGTTCATGTTCTCTAAGAGAACAGGTGGTGACCTGGACTTCATGCCTGCTCTGGGTCTGGGGCTGCTGCAGGGCAGTGGAAAGTCTGTCTGGATGCACCTCACTCTGTGGGTGAGTGAAGTGGCTGAAGGGTGTCCACTGTTCAACAGCTTTGGAATGCTGCTACGTGCAGGGTCCTGGGGCCACAGGTGGATAGAAGAAGAAGCTCTTGGACACAGGCCAGGCCAGACCAGGCCCAGAAAGGCATCAGGCCCTGGGTGGAAATAATAAGCCTATGTGGCCTGCCTATCCTGTGGCCCTGGTCTTGGCCAAATCTTCCTGGTAATGAGGGCAGCTTTTCCTGGGAGTGGGGTGCGCTGGGAGAGGTTGACTCTGCAGGGGACTACAGGAAGTAGAGAGCTGGAAAAATGCCTCCAGTACTGGATTCCTTGCTGCAGCTGCTTTTGGCAGAACTTTCTTATCCTTCCCTTTAAAAACCTCACCTTATTTCTCTTCTCTGCGCTGGGAATCCTGGTGGTAAAATATCTTGGGGGGAAAAGTAAACCCGCTGTTCATTCCAGCCCTGAGAAGGAGGTCAGTGGGGTGCATCCCGTTTGTCCACGGCCCCCCTTCTCCCCCGCAGCACTCCTGGCCAGACCCAGCTGACACTTGACAGCGCCTGCAGTTTACCTTGGCTCAGGTCCAGAGAGTTCGGGCCCAGTCTGGGGCGGCCCCCACCTCTCCACCTTGTCACCCGCCCCCTCTCCAGCGCAAAGAGCAGTTTAAATATAAATCAGTCCTCAGCACAAACAGAGCCTCTGCGAGTCTCAGAGCCATCACCGGAACTGAGGGCCCAGGTTTGCACGGCGAGTGCAAACAAGCAGAGACTGGCTCTGTAAATCTCCTGAGCGCAGTCGGGAGGGGTGCCGGGCTCACCTCCGCTGCAGAAACCCCCAGCTCCCTTCCACCCTCTGGGTCCGGTGGGCTCCTCCAGAGCCCCCTCGGAGCCCCTTCACCTCCCCCTACCCCAGCCCTCCTGCCCCTAGGCCTGCCAGCTCCGTCCCTGGTCCCCTCTAATCACCCACCCACGGCCCCGTCGCGCCCACCCTCGCTTCAACAGTCCCCAGGCTTCCCCAAGCCCTGTAGCCTCCTGCCCCCTCCGGCCATCACCTGCCCTCCCCGGGCCGACACCTCCCTCCTTCGCCCTCCGCCTCCCGGCAGGCGGGACCTTCTCCTGGGGCAGTCAAGCCTCGCGGGTCTCCAGGGAGTCACACCTGTCTGAGGGGGTGGCAGCGGCGGCGGGGGGCGGGGGCTCGCAGCGCGTTTGACACCAGAGGAAAAGAGGGAGGAGGGAGAGCGCGTTTCATCATCAACGACGGCTGCGGCCACTTATAAAACTTCTGGGCGCGCACTCTCTCGCTCAGTCTCCGCGCCGCGCGCCTCCTCCGGCCACCGCCACCGCGCTCGCCGCCCGCCCGCCCGTCCCGCCGCATCAGCCCGAGGCGCCCGGATCGGGCTTGCCCGCCCCAGCCCGGGGCCCCGCCGCCGCCGCGCGGCCCCCGCCCGCCACCATGGGGCTCCTGCCCAAGCCCGGCGCGCCCCAGGGCAGCAACGCCTCTTCGGGCCGAGCCAGCAGCTGTCCCCGCTCCGTCTTCGGCAACATTAAGGTGAGCGGAGTCCGCGAGGCCGTCTGGGCCCGAGCCGCGCCGGGCGCACCTTCGGCGGGGCGCCCGCGTCTGTCCGCCCGAGCCGGGAGGCGCCGGGCGCGCCGGGCTCCCTGCGGGGCGGCGCTCCGGGTCGCGTCCCCGCGTCCCCGCACGGCTGGCGAGGGGGCGCCCGGACGGTGGGCGCGTGCTGGGCGGGCATGTGCGCGCTCACACGCCCTCGTCAGGGTCAGAAACAGGACAATGGAAGTGCCTGCTTATTGGGGCAACTCAGGGCAGAGCGTTCTGGCTTACTAGGCGAGGGAACGGTCCCGTTCTTTGATTGAAAAAGTGCATCTAGAGGAACACTTTGTCGGTCTCCTGCGGGCAGTTACTTCATTAATGGGACTCGCTTGGAGGTGCCAGGCTGTGGTCCCTCAGAGATGGAGGAAGTTGGAGGCGGCCGCCTCTGGGGTGGGTGGCAGGAGGGATCATCTCCTTCCCCAGGCGTTCTTCTCCCGCGGGCACCGGGACTGTGCTACCCGGCTGAGCGGCTGCAGGCAGTGCAGAGAAGCCCCTTCAGAGGGCAGCTTCCCGAGGCCGCACGCTCCTGTCAGTGTCCGGGCTGCAAACGGCCCCAGGAACGCGGCATGCCCGCGGTTTGCTCAGGAAGGGCTAAGCAGGTGCCTCTTGCCTGGCAAGTTACAGGGAGCAGGCGAAGAGAATACAGAGTGCTGGCGGCGGTTGCAATGTGAACACCTTCTCCAGGGCTCAGAAATTCTTTCACTCCCTCACGGGTCCAGGAGGACCTGGAATGGTTGAATCCACACTCAGGCTCTTCTGCCCATTCTGGGCAGACAGAAGCAACGACGGAAGAGACCTCCTGAGAGGGCGAAGCTGCTGTGGCAAGGATGTGGGAGGCTGCAGAGACAGCATCGGGGCCCCTTCGGGTCAGGGTGGGGATTATGGTGCAGAGAGCTTCTTTCCCACAATCATACAATCTAATGGGACTCGGTAAAGCCTCCAGCGGTGCCATGAAAAGGTAGCCAGATCACACGAAGGGAGGACGGGGGTCTCTGTGGACTGGTAATATGTGCCCAGCAGAAAGCGATCTAGAGGTCAGAGTGGATCTCACCTGCATACTTACTCAGATTGTTACCAGTGGAGCTAGGATCTCCGCTCCTGCTTCTGCTCTCTCTCCACACCACAATAAATAAAGCCTGAATTGATTTCACAGTTGGATAGGAATAAGAAACAGAAATTTGGGGATAGTTTAAAATAATCCTCAAATCTCCTTGTCTTTGGCCAGACCTGGATGGAACACTATGTGCAGTTTGAGTTCCACCATTTAAAAGGGTTTTGGAGAAGTTTCAGCAGAGAATTGTGGAATTTTTGATATTTTTAAATTAGGAATTGGGAGGAAAGGTTGGGGGCAAGGTTTGAGTGGTCCAAGAAAAGGGACCTGGGCAGGAGCTAGGGTGGGTGCAATCTCCCTCCATTTTCACCAAGAAAGGCAGGAGGGACAGTTGTCCCACACCAGATTCCTGACAATGAGAGTAATGCCAAATGACATCGTTCTATTTAGACCTGCCCTGAGTCTCTAAAATAAATGCATATGGTTGCAGTTTCTTTGAAGATCCATAAAAATAAGATAATTTCTCATATGCCAATGATTTAGCCACATGCTCCTGAAGCCTGGGCTCAGGCCAGTTGGCCTCCTAAAGGAGTTAAGTACTCATAGCAGTTAAGAATCTTTCTTAAGTCTAAAAATCAGATTCTCTTAATCATTGCCTCGTTTGATTCATAGTAACTCTAAGATTGGAGTTTGGAGATACTGCCACTTAACTTCACTTATCAGCCTGAAAACCAGGTACAAGGTTGGATGTCTTAAGCAAATCTGGAATCTGAAATTCCATTAGTTAAATTCACTGAAGCCTTTCCCTTCTGGGGCAGTAACTGAGGACTTTGCTATTTGAAGGGAGATTTCATCCTCCCAATGAGAGGGTGGGGGACTGCCCTGCCCCTTCCCAGTGGGGGTTGGGCTGCACATGTCTTGGGACATGTGTGCCATGAGTGGGAACAGGGGACACCCAACCTGAGGATCATTTTTCTAGGTTCCTTGTTGCTGGGAAAGACTAACCCATTGGCTTTGTGGACAGTCCTGCGAAAACCCAAATACCATGTAGTTTAGGGGAAGGGGATAAAGCTAGAGGACTCAGAGCCATGTCCCATCCTAGTCACCTAATAATTGACACAAGGAAGTATATCTCACCTTTCCTGAGCCTCAAGTTCCTTACCTGAAAAAGTAGGTAATATCACCAAGTCCCACCTCATGGGTCTGTGTAAGGATTATGAGGAGTGAGGTGTAGGAAAAGGGTGTTGTAAACCATTCTGTGCTCTCCAGGACTGGTACCCATTTGAAATCAGTTCTTTCTTCAACAAATAGGGCTACACATTCAAGTATCATTTAGGAACTATTGTTCTACCAGCACCATAAGGCGTAGTTATTTGGTGAAGAAAAACTACAGTTAATACTAATAATGTCCAAAATAATAGTAATAGTAGCTAACAGTAATTGAGCCATATGAATGTACCAGGAACTATGGGAATATTTTATCCATATTTAATCCTCATCACAACTCTCTGTGAAATGGGTATGATTATTGTCCTCATTAATGATGGGGAAAACAAGGCTTCATGAGGCTGGTCCCTTGTGTGTGGGCACACACCCAGAAAGGTGGAGTGTACAGGAGCCAGGTGTGTGAGATGCCAGCATTGGAGACCCTAACCACTGTGCAACCTGGCCCTCACCATCAGCACTGTGCTGTGCTCTGCTTTAGCAGGTGGGGATGCCAGTGCATGTTCTTGCACTTGTTCCCAGTGGTTGGTGCTTCCTCCAGGCACTGGTGACACGCACAGCCCAGCTGTGACCAAGGGGAACTGGGTGGCTGCAGGTTGGGTGTTCCCCATGCTAACAGGCTCATAACCTTTCACTCTGCATAACTCTCTTCTATAGAGTCTGGCTGCTCTTGGGGTGAAGTTTTTCTACTTTCTCCCGCAGGAGTAAATACAATCTCATTTCATCAGGAGACAGTCTCTGTTGCCTCTGGCTGACAGGATTAGTAAGAAGCAGAGACCTGCTCAACAATCAGAAAGCTAAATTAAAAACAGGCTCATGTAGTGATTATGGGGGTGGGAAGTATTGACAGGAGGGAGCTTTTGAGCAACTTATCCTGGCAGTCTCAAAGAGATCTGTTTCTCCTTAAAATGAAACTTTCTTTTGGGGCCAAGCTGAGGTTATCTTACAGAAGAAGTGGTTGATTGGTAACTGCTGCCCGATTTCAGGAAGTCACACACTCAGGGCCCCCGCACAGTGAGGTAATGTATATCTCATCAGTGGGGAGCATCCCAGTGGGCCTGGGTTGGGAAGATCCTTGGGAAGGAAGGAAAGGCAAACTTCACAGCTCGGCTGGCGTGGCCCTGCTAACCTCTGCCCTAGGAGGACCAAAGATGAGGGGGGAGTTCTTTGTCTTGGCCTATGCCCATAACGTCCTGAAGCTTCTGACCCCCAAGCATGGGGAGGCATCTTGGGCTTAATTTCTCAGTTTCCAGAGCAAAGTGCTATATCCCAGCAACCTGATTCATGCTCGGGAAAACATGCTCAGTAGAATCCGCTGGGCCAAAGAATTCCTTCATGGACCCAGTGAATGAAACTATGCCCACTCCTCCCCAGGGACAGTGTTCCTCTACCACTTAGGATAGCATCATTCTGTTCTCGGGTGTCTGCCTCCTGAGAGGCCCCTCTTGCCCTGCTTGTAGGGAGTGGTCAGGTGGTCACTTAGACCTTCTCCAGGATGATGTGCAAAGCCCCTCTTTGCTTTCCTTTTTTCTCCTGGTGATGCCGACATAGCAAATGGAAGAATGGCTTACATTTCACAATATAGATAGCTCATTTCATCCCTTTCTTTTTGTGGCAATGACTACATTTTTGTTCCATTCTGGAAGACCCAGAAGTGGTGTTGGGATGGTGGAATGGGAACATGGCTTCCTCTCACCTTCTTTTGTTTGCTTGTGTGGTGGGTCAGGGTGTATGCAGAGGAATGTAGTTGGTCCGAGGGCCTCACCCCCTCCTCATTCTCCCTCTTCACACCCCCTGCTTGGTCTTTTTAATCCCATCCCATGGCTTTAACCGCCCGTAGCACTTCCTTCAACCTGCCAGTGGAGGCGCTGGCCTGCAGAGAACCCCATCTGGGTGCCCACCCTGAGGGAACTGAGCAGAAGCCAGGGGTACTGGCCTGGGCTGGTTTGGCCCCTGTTGTGAAGTTGTGAAGTTCACTAACAAGCACTTGGCCATTCCAGTCTCAGTTTCTGTTGAGGAATGACATGAAGAAATAGCTGTGTGAGTTTGCCTCCCACAGGATCAACACAGATGGTTGTCACTAGGGTACTTAGGAGAAAGTCAGCTGAGTTCCTAGTACTAGACAAAATGATTTATTTTGAGTCTTTAAAATCTTTTTTTATTTTGAAGCAGCTATAGAGTCATCAGAAAACTAGTACTTAGAGGTCCTGTGTAGCCTTCACCCAGTTTCTGCCAGTGGTTCCATCGTGCATAACAGCATAATGTCAAAAGCAGGAAATTGACATTGCTATTGAGTGTGTGTATAGTTCTGTGCTATTTTATCACATGTAGCTTTGTGTAGCCACCACCCCAGCACTTCCAGGTGCAGAACTATGCCATCAACACAAAGATTTCTCTCGCGCTAACCCATATATAGTCACATCCCCCCCTTCCTGACTATCATCCCCTAACCCCTGGCAACCACTAATCTCTTCTCCATCCCTATTATTTTGTAATTTCAAGAATGTTATACAAATGGAATCATACAATATGTGGCCTTTTGAGATTGGCTTTTTTCATTCAGCATAACGCCCTTGAGATCCATCCAAATTGTTTTGTGTATCGATAGTTTGTTCTTCTTTCTTGCTGAGTAGTGTTCCATGGTATGGATATACTACAATTTGTT